GGAAGAGTAGAAATTCTAAAACTCTATGAAGTTAGTAAGTGTGCCCACTTTTTTCTAGTGTTTTTCCAGCTCTATCTGGTGCAAGTTATCATAGATAAGATTATTTTGCAAAAGTAAGACTTTTAAATTAAGAGTTGAACCTTTACAATACTTTGGAATCAAATGTGCTAACATTACCAATACTTTGTACAGTTATGAAGTCCACTGGGTAACTCTTGGTAAGATAATCTAGAATCTTCAATTTAAAAATCAGTTGCATGAACTTCCAGCGTCGTCTAAGGTGGAGTAAGCCCAGAACACTTCAAAATGCTGGGTAAATAGAAAAAGAAACTACCAGAAGCCCAGAACACTTCAAAATGCTGGGTAAATAGAAAAAGAAACTACCAGAAGTCTCTGAAAAGAAAGCAAAATCAAGTTGATTGAGGGTAAAGTCAAAACTTGAAGAAGCAACCTGTATGGCCTGAAATCCTGGGATTTTTCTGTTTTGTTTGTTTTTCTTTTCTATTTTCTGCCCTAATGTTGGTCTGAGGATGAGAGCCTAGCTGGGTTTCAAGGGTAGCAAAAACTCCCAGGAGCCTTGTCTTTCTGGACACTGAAACAAGAATAGGGGCCACTATGAGCGAGAGAGTGTGAGGGGGTTCTTCCTACCATCTCCTTCTTTGCTCTCCTAATTCTGGTCAAAAGGCAGTCCCAGTCACTGAGTAACAGCAGCCGGAGCAAATGAAAAAATTTAGTTTCTATGGTATGATGTTTAAGATGGTATTTAACCTGAGGCCAATTGGCAGAAAAATGGGAAGAAGCTGGCTCATGAGAATACTTGAGTAAATAATTAAACTACCAAAAAAAAGCAACATGCTGGATCTCAGTGAACAGGAGAGTGGTACAAGGTGAGATTGAAGAGACAGGAGAGGCTGAAACATTCCAGGCTTGGAAGGTCAAGTCAAGGACAACAGCAAATCTTTATATGGTACTTATTATGTTTGAAACACTGTTCAAATTGTTTTCATAGTTAACTCACTTAATTTTCTCAGGAAGTCTATGAGAAATGTATTTTCACCATTAGCATTCTCATTTTAAAGGTGAGCAGACTAAGGGACAAAGATTACATGCTAAAGTTCACGCAAATATCAACTAGGAAGAGCCAGGAACAGAATTCATGCAGGACCTTAGCTTTTGTTCTAAGTATAATAACAGGTGATAACAGGATTCTAGGCAGTGAGGTACTAAGTGCTCTTTGGCTTTTCCAAATATATTTCTGGTTATTATGTAGCAAGAAGTTTGAAGCCAGGCAAGAATAAAATAAATCAGATAAGCAGTGGTGGTGGATCAAAATAGAGGGTCAGCATTGAAAACAGAGAAACAGATGATTCGGAAATATTCTGTAGGTAGAATCAACTCAACTTGCTAATGAATTAAACACGAGAAGTGTCCAGGACAATTCCTAGGTGTCTTCCTTGAGCACTTAGTTGGATAGATATGGCTTTTACTAGAGATGTGAAACATTAGACTAAATGCAAGCTGGTTTATGATGTATCACATGAGAGATAACCATGACATTTCCATGTAACATTCAAATAAGTCATGATATAAGTCTGCATTTCAGAAAGCACATCAGGGCTGGAGACACAAGTTTAGGCAGCAGAAAGTATTGATGACATTTAAAGCAATAAGAATGAATTTGGAGGGAAAGGGGTTGAATGAGAATTTTTAAAAAGTCAGAATTCAAGCCCTTTACAAACTCCAACATTTAGAAGATGGCAAAGGAGGTATTTCTGGCTGCAGAATGTTCTGGTTTTATTTCTCTCTCCTAACGATTTTCCCACTCATTCCCTAATATTTGATCTAGTAATGTGATGCTCTCAGGCTATTCCTGTACTTATAAATCAGTCCCAAAGAACAATGGTCATGGTTGATCAATGTTCCTTGGAAGTTAAATGAAACATTTAAGCAACCAGTGAATAATATCCCACTAGAATACCTCTAGAGTCCATTCCTCCATGACCTTGGCTTTGCACTTCTTCTACAGAAGAGTCTATTCCCATAAAAAACGAGTCACAACAAAAAGATTATTAAATCAAGAGAAGATCTAGCTGGCTGTTGTGTTTGTATGTACTTTGTTGTGGAAATGCTGGGCCTTTTAGTCTTTAATCTTAGTCTTCCAGCCTGACAGCTTTGAAATTGCTGCAGAAAAGTTCACTGAAAGAGATAAATCTGTATATCATCTGCATAAAAAAGACAATGCATCATCATGGTAAATAAGACAACCAAATGAAGCATAGATACTGGGGAGAAGCTCTCCTGGGGAGGTTCAATAATAAGACTAAGAAATTCAGGAAAGGTAAAAAAACAAAAGCCGTATGATCATAAAGTAATATCAAATCTCATCATGGAAGTCACACACACACACACACACACACACACATAATCATGTGCTTCAAACATTCCTTGAAAGTGTCAAGACACCCTGAGTCTGAAGTTATAGTTAAGGAATAAACAAAAATAAAAATCACAGACATATAGTGAAAAGGTCAACGTAATAAACATAACAAGCTTCTCTTTCAGATAAGAAATCTTTTTAGTACTAAATTAAATTTGGCATTTAAGTAATAATTTAATCCACCTATCCCAAAGTCTCAATGAATCTAATTTAAGAAATATAATATGAAACATAAATTGGAACTGTCATACCATAATTTGTAGTAATACATTTGTTTAAAAACAGGGTGGGTCTGAACAAAAGGCAGAAATCTGATTAATTTTCTGAAGATGAGGAGGCTCCTGCATTGTCAAAAGCGTAAGTAACCACTACAGTCTCTCCCAACTGATAAAGTGGTGACATGAATGCTCTTAAGAGCTACAGGATCTCCTATGAGCTATCACATAAGCCATACTGGACGTACAGCTTGATAGTAGTTTTGCGTGGCTGTTCTTGTACTCCTTGGTAATTAATGAAAGGCACAGTAGAAATTTCAATATATGCTGTAACTTGAAAAAGGCAGGTGAGTATCAGTGATAAGTCAGTGTTGGGAGAAAAGATGATGGTGATCAGAGGTGGCCAAGTGCAAAAGCTCTCAATTTTCTTAACCAGACAATAAATTCAAATGGTAGAACTTCTGCTCAGTGCATGATATCTGAGAGTTGAATTAACCCTGAAACTACTATTTTCATCATCTTTCACTTCATTTTTTTAAGAAACATTATACACCATTTATAAAAACCAAATATTTGTTTGGGGAATGTCACAGTGCAATAATAGTTTGTGAACAGAGCCACAAAACAAGAACAAAGTGCCATTGGGCAAAAGGTGTCAACAAGGAAGTAAAATAGGTTGGAAAACCATGTTTTCAACTGGTTAATGAACTTGAATGAATCTAAAACTTAGACAATGCTAATTGTAGGGGAGGAAGACATTTCCTCTACCCACTCTTGCTCCTTCTGCTGGCCAGGCTACAAATTAAATTCAGATGAGACAGAATAACAGGAGAAAATTAAACAAAGCTTTATAACATGTGTACATGGGAGAGACTCAAGGCAACTGAGCAACTCACCAAAAAGGCAGATGCTCTCATCTTCAATACCATCTTCAGCTAAAGGCAAAGGAGGGTGTTGGGAGAGGGGGAGTCAGTTATGGGAGATTAGCAGAAAGTACAGAAAACAAGAGTAAGGTTATTATGCAGATTTAAGTCCTTGCCTTCCAAATTGATAAGAGTTTCTAGAGATAAGGTCATCCCCTCTTCTTCCTGGTACAGAGAGGGAGACACCTTTACAGATGGAGATTTCCCTTACAAATGTAAATGTCTCTTACAAAGGGTAAATTCTACTTTTCAGAGTTTCTCTCATGTCTGCAGTTTTTAAAAGTAACCAGCCCAAAATATCCTCATGCCAAAGAGACATATCTTCGGTGGCCAATTCCGATCCCCCACACTAATATTCAGACAACTCATTAACATTGTAGGGAAGACAAATTGAATTTGAAGAAAACAGCCAGTGTGTCTTTTAGGAAGCTGATGGAGTGCAATATTTGTGTGGTATCAAATTTCAGAAAAACATGAAATTCTAAAAAACGGTACTCGTAAGTCTTCAGCTAATTATGAGGTATTTAATGTTAATTTATTTTATTTCCTTCACACACCTATTTTTCTTTCCTTCTGTGGACTTACACAATGATACAGGTAATTTGGGTTTCTCAACACTCCAGCATGACACAGAGCATCCACACCCCATATCCTTCTATCTCACTTTAACCATTCCTCCCACCCACCAACACACATGTGAAGGCCTTGTCCTCCCTCTATTTAATTCCCTTTGAGTCTACCCTTTTTCTAATATCAATGCATAATTTCAGTTTCATCTATAGAACTCAAATTTTAGAACCCAAAGTTTGGATTCAAATTTTGAATCTGAGAAATAACACTGAGCCAAACCACAGAGCCCCTGTACATTCATTTCCTGTTCTGATAGGTTAAAGTAATAGTAACACTATATCAAAGAGTTGTAGTAAAGATGAAATGAGAAAGTGAATATGAAAACCAGTTTTCTGTATATGAATGTCATCGTTAGTAATATGCTACCGCACTCCGGTATGGATGCCCATTAGGAGTGATACTAATTTGAAAATTTTGAACATAGTAGCTAGTTAATAACTAGAATACTTTTAAATTCCAGAACCTACATGCAGGATTTTGGAAAATTTTTCAGTGTTAGGAGAGATCCATTAAACCTTCAGTATGATGGCTGAAAACAAGATGAGATTGTAAATGTCATTTATTTTGCCTACTTAGTACTTTTTGAATGTCTTTGCTATGTTTGATTAATTTACAGATTTAGGAATTGATATCCTCAAGGTAGAATCCAGAAAACTTCTCAAGAACTTTAAGTCAATAGTGTACAACTTTGGGAAGTAGGCCCATTCAAGATTCTTTTTGTTCCCAGTAGTAGTGGTGGCTGGGGTGTCAAATTATGACGGTAGCAGAGATCAAAACTTCCTGGCACAGACCCACCTTCAGTTAGGCAGTAGCAGCCATGGCATCTTCCAACAAGTCTCCATGGGGTGGTAGCAGCATCAGTAATGCTTCATCAGGTAAACTCTGCAGGAAAGATTTTGGTGTTATTCCTGGAAACTTAGCCTGAAGCTTGGTTCTCTGATGCCAAAAAAAATTGTGAGCTGCCCAATATACTTTTAATAGACACTATTTCTACTTAATTAGCCAGATTCAACTTTGCTTCCTGGCAACCAAGAACCCTGGCTAATGCATCCTTTCACTGCCAGTTGTTAGCATTGAAATGATATTCCAAGTAGGTGCACAAGCTACAAGGAATAAATGCACAAAGAGATTTTGAGTGAAAGTAACACTATGAGAGCAACACCCAGTAACTCATTTCAATTGGACAAAACCTTTCAGAGAAAAGAGAGTAAGTGTGTGGCTCTCTCTATTTCCAAAGCCAGAAAGGCTCAGCAACACGCAATTAAGTAGAACAACAGCAAGGGAGGCATAGGAGCAAGAAAGGCAACAGATACAGCAAATATGGAAATTATGTGTAGAAATACACTAAGTATGGGTGTGCACATGGATATATGGAGCTGAATTGGAATCAAATCAATAAGAAGCTGACTTAGTTCTGAAAGGGTTTTACTGTCAAAAACCACAACTTGCCAGGACTAAAAGAGACTGTGACCATTTGAGACATAAGATGACTCTTGGCCCCCAGTAGTTTACAAACAGGAAGCAGCCTGAGAAATTGGCTCATCCCCAAGGAGGCTGTATTCAGATGTGGCCAAGCGAGATAACGGAAAAGGAAGATGCCTGAGAATGAAAGGACAGGGAAGCACCTTCGAAGAGCCAGCAGAGCTTAATCAAAGAATGTTCCTCATCCTTAGGTTAGAGGAACCAAACAGTGCCAGTTTAGTGAGCTTCCAGGTTGCTATGGGAATGATTACCATTTGTTGCCCATTCTTCCTCTTTCTGGATGCGAGTATTTATTATTGTCACCCTAGACCTGTCCTACCACGGTGTATTGGGATTATGAAGGAGGGGAAAGGACGACAGATTTTGTGTCTCCTTAGTTCACAAGCCCATGTCCCAGAGGACACACCTATTAACCAGACATAATTTAAAGCTCTTGGGCTTTGATTTGGACCCAGTGACTGGATCAGACTTTTTAGCAATCTTGCTTGGGGAAGAGATTAGTGTGTTCTGCATATAGAAAGGAAAGTGAACTTAATATTTTGTGATCTAAAGAGTAAATGGAGACAGTCAATATTGCATCGATGTTGCCCACAAATATTTCTGTCTTTCCATCAGGACAATGAAATAAGCATGTTTTCTGTAGCCTATTAGTAAGGAGTTGTCAGTTAACTTCATTGGTGAGTGAATTGTGAGTGGAAATGTAAGGATCGCTTCCGGTAGAATAGTTAAAGAGCCAGTGTGTAATTCACTAGTCTCTCTTTCCCTCTGCCACAGGGACAGTGTTTCAAAGAGTGACTGTTCCATCAGCACAGGTCCCAGAGTGGCAAAGATGCAGAAGAGAATCCCCAATGACCCTTGCTAGTCACACAGCAAGAGCAAGAATAAAATCTTTGTTGTTTTAAGACACGGAGATTGGGAGGTTATTGTTTTCACCACAGCATAACTGAGACCATCCTGATTGATAGAAATATCCTGAATCTTAATTTCTAATCATGTTCTAGCAGGCAATGGATATGCTAGAGAGGGGGTAAGAAGGAGGAAAGACATACTGATATCATGCAATGAAATATATTCTCTTAGAACTAAGATTTGGGCAACAAGATCTGACCTTGCAAATATAATAGCAAATCCAAGTGCAATCTTTACATGTGTTTGGAGGTGAAGTAAAGACATTGGTTAGAATTTAGACTTTAATTCTATTAAATTACTAATTCTATTTAATTACTATTTGACATGCACAAATAGTAAAAGACTGAGAACCACAGTGCATGATGCACTCTTCTGCTTTTTATGTACATGTATATAAAATCTACACTCACATGCAGAAAAGCAATGAATACAAATTGAAAGAAGGTCTTTCTGAATTAGAAATACGTTGAGAATTAAAACTTCTTTAAGTTGTAATTTGATTCATAGAGTTAATTTTGTCAACTCTATCAAAATAAAGTTGATAAACTGGAACCCCTCTCAGACAAATTTTGTCCTAGGTTTACAGATAGTATTGACTTTCAATCTTCTACTTGCTCACTCACTTGAATAAACCACTCGTTTTGCTTTCACTATAATCACAGACCTTATATCTACTTTCTCTTAAGGGAGTAAATATTCCCAATTTATTCTGATTTACTTTATTATTTTCTTAGCAGTTTCCATATTTTCAATGATAATGCAAAGGCAAATTTATATCCGGCCTTTTCAGAATTAATGCAGATTTTTATTCCTGCAAGCAGGTAAAAAAGCTGAAGAATGTAACTTCATTTTTCTAAATGGATAGTTTGCTTAACTATCATATGGAAGACATAAATAAGCATATCAAAGAAGGAAGATCAAAGAACATGGACTTCAATTAAAAAAAAAATCAAGATCAAAACAAGACAAAAATGATCATAGAATTAGAGAATAAAGGAGATATATTGGTTTTGTTGAGGAAATGTCCCGGATAAAATAAACAAAGAATAGAACTGAATGTTCATATCTCTGAATGAAAAAACCCCAAATAAAATCTCATTTATCATTTTGATATATGCTTTGAAAAGAGACCACTGTGAACACCTCAAGCTTGTGAATTGCACTGTTCTCCTTTAAAATCTTAATGCTTTTTCCCCTTCTCTCTTTAACTTTTTCATTTTAGATTTAATTTTAAAAGCTTAAACTGTATAAAGACACCTGCCCACAAATAAGGGATTTATTTTCTAGGTCAGATAGGACATAAAGTTGTTAAGATCCAGGTTAATGATGAAAGTACCTATTTGAGTGCTTATTCTTGGGTAGACCAACTCTCTCACTTTAGTCTGGATGATACTGATCTCTTCCATTAATCATACAGTGAATCAAGTTGAATATAAATGTCAACAGAAAGAGAAGATGCTGTTACACAAAAAATGAGGTTGGGACTAAAGTTATTTGCAGAGCAAGCATGGGAGAGTACCCAAATCAGTTAATAAAACAAAAATAGTTTTTGAGCCCAGGTCAGATATGGAACTTGAATATCGAGTTGTTACATACAGCGTGAGAAGGGTTAAAAATTAGTTCTAGAACAAATCTGGCAAGAGTGTTAGAATGGCAGGAAATTAGAGCACATTTCCATTGTGCCCAAGGAGGTTCTTTTTGAAAGCTCAAGGCTTTGCCCTCACATGGATGCCTTTTCAGATCTTAAAGCCCCTGAATGGCCAAACCACCAGTTCAATATCTGACAAGTAAAATATCTAACTGTTAAATGATAAGTTAGCACATGCAATCATGGAAAAATAATGGTTTTGAAAAGGTTTAAGCAAAAGGAAAAATGGCAGATATCATGCCACATTTAGAGAAATATAATCTTAAAAATATTCCCAGGGAGAAGGTCTCAGAGCTAAATTCAGGAGCTTTAAGGAAACTACAGCTCCCTGGAGAACAGTGGTTCTCAACCAAAGGCAATTTTGACATCCCCCACTTTCCAATCCCCAAGACATTCGGCAATGCCTGGAGACGTTTTGCTTGTCGCAACTGAGTGGAGGCCAGGGATGCTGTTAAACATATTGAAGTGCACAGAATAGCCTCTCAAAACAAAGTATTATCCAACACAGAATGTCAGAAGTGCAACATTGAGCAACTCTGCAATGGACAATTCCAGAATTCCACATATTCAGTATGTTACCAAATCCGAAAAGAAAAAAAAATCTAGATTCTGGGTATGCTCCGAAAAGTTTCTCTAAATACAAAAGAAAGATAATTTTCTTCCTAGGAACATTCACATAGTATTGTACCACATCAAAATACTTCTAATGAGTATAATTGCTTTGGTTTCAGCCAGACATCAGTTAAAAAATTCATTTTGCTAATTATGAGCTTTTTACTTTGGGCACATGCACAAAACTCTCTAATCTTAGTTTTCTCATCTCTGAAAATGGACATTGTGATGCTTCAATTTCAGCAATGCTATAAAGGGTAAATGACATATTCAGAAGGACCACAAAGAGCAGATAATGGTAATTACTATTATTATTGCTGTTATCACTATTTTATATGGGATAATATAAGCCAATCAACTCCTACTCAATTAAAGTTGGAAACATAAAAAATACTTGCAGTGTTCTAGTGGAAGGTACTGATGAGAAAGAATAGAGCAAAAGTTGCATTATTGTTCCCAAGCCTCAAAATTTCCAGCTGACTTAATTCCTTTCAGAGTGCCCTTGATAACAGCAGCAAGAAACACTGCCCGAAGGCCAACCTGTCTCTCATACGAAACCAGAAAGATGCTGATAAAACAGGGGTACTTGTATATTTTAAACTGATGGAATTCCTTGATGCAATGCGGGAGAGTCGTGTCATATAAACCCTAAGGTGAATCTCTGTGAATCACACCTTCTATAATCACTCCTCTGTGAGTGGAGGTGGGAACTGTGACTTGCTTCCAACCAATAGAATATGGCAAAGGGCATATGTCACTCCAATGGTTATGTCAAGTTATATAAGGCTCCATCCCAGCAGTCTGGAGAGTAAGATTCTCTTACTGGCCTGGAAGAAGCAAACAGCCATGTTGTGACCCACCTATGCAGAGGGTCACGTGGCAGGCATCTATATGCAGCCTCTAGGACCTGAGCATGGTCTCTAGCCATCAGCCAGTAAAAAACTGAGATGTTTAGTCATACAGCCAAAAGGAAATACATTCTGCCAACAACCTGAATGATTTTAGAAGTGGATTCTTTCCCAGTCAAGCCTCCAAATGAGAACACAACCCGGCCAACACCTTGAGTCCACCTTGTCTGGACTCTTGACCCACAGAAATTGTGAAACAATAAATGTATGCTGTGTTAATCCACTAAGTTTGTGATAATTTGGTAAGCATCAATAGAAAAATAATATGGAGGACCAGCCAAGAATATAAACAGTGTCCCTAAAGTGGAAGTAAAAGCTTGCAT